GTCACAATTATACATTTCTCTTTTATGCCAAAAATCATTAGGATATTAAGTAAAGATCATGTTCCATGAAGATATTTTGTAAATCTCCTACCGTAAATATATCAAAACTTAATGTTTGATTAGTAATATGCATTGCTAAGAACTTCATTTGAACAACTTTAAAGATGATTTTCTCAATATTTAGATTTTTTTGCACCCTCAGATTCCAGATTTTCAAATATTGTCCTCTCCTAACAAATCATACATCAATGGAGAGCTCATTTATTCAGATGATGTATAAATCTCAATTTCAGACAAATTGACCCAGATGACTGGTTTTGTGCTCCAGGGTCACATATAAATAACATTTTACTAACTTACTTACTATCGGGCCGCAGGAGGAGTCCTGCTACATCTTTGTGGGAGTGACGCAGGAGGCCGAGCGCGAGGAGTTCTACGACGAGACGCGGCGTCTGTGTGACCTGCGGCTCTTTCACCCCATCCTCAAAGTCATCGAGCCGCTGGGGAACAGAGAGGAGAAGATCCTCAACCGGGAGATCGGTCAGTGTGTGTCGTGATTAGCCAATCAACAAGCAAAGACAGTCTAATGAATAAATCGAACAGAAGTTAATATCAGTGTTGGGGAAAGTTACTTTTAAAGTAATGCATTACAATATTGCATTACTCCCTAAAAAAAGTAACTTATGTTACTTTGTTACTTCTTATGGAAAGTAATGCATACTTTTGCGTTACTTTTTCAAATCTGGACTGGGCTTGTTTGTTTGTTTTTAATATGAAAATGTTATATTTTTGGCAAATATAAAAGCCCCTTAACACCAAAAGTGAAATGAATAAGCCTCAGGCTGAAGTAAAGAAAGCTCAACACTTTTTGATCAGCAATAAAAAAAAACAAGACAATTATTTGTTGAATTGGATCAAGGTCAGTTGCTATAGCTATGCCTGTTTTCACTGGTGCTGCCTTCACGTGCTTCCAGAACGATCGTAAATATGAATGTGCTAGTTAAAAATTGCACATGAAAGCAATGTGAAGTCGACCGCTTGAATTAGTCGAGCTCATAATCACAAGCAGGACTTATAAAGTTTGCGATAGCAGCTAAGGCACAATGAGACCAGCTGTTGTTATTTTCATCGCGCCGTGCTGTGTAATTCATGAACGATCCTTTATTACACACAATACGATCAGATGACTGACTTTTAAACCGAGCATGTTTTCTATAAAGATAACCGGCTTGTACTAATAGTGGAATGTTTGTTTGTATGCCGGAGCGTGAGCTCTTGAAGCTCCGCCTTCTTCTGAAAGGGGGTGGAGCACCAGCTCATTTGCATTTAAAGGGACACACACAAAAACGGCACGTTTTGGCTCATACCCTAAAAGTGGCAATTTTAACAAGCTATAAAAAATGATCTGTCAACTAAAATTCACATACAAACTCTGGGGATAACAGAGACTTATTTTACGCAATCTGCAGTGTGTCAGAATCGAGGGGCTTGTCAAATAAAGCTCATGTAGTTTAGTGTAAATGCTGGTGATGTGTGCGCTCTCAGGTTTCGCTATAGGGATGCCCATCTGTGAGTTCGAGCTGGTGAAGGATCCGGAGGTGCAGGACTTCCGCAGGAACATTCTGAGCGTGTGCAGGGAAGCGGTGGAGGAGCGCGAGGGAGGAGGCGCACACACACAGGCGCTCTACGTCTATCCTCCCAACGTGGAGTCCTCTGCCGAGCTGCCACAGCACATCTACAGCAAACTCGACAAAGGTGCGTCTGCGTCACAGCTGCACGGTTCGTCGTGAGAAGATACAAACACCCAAACACCCCATTTCTAAAGTACAGCGATTCGCAGGCGTCTATTAAACCTTAGAAAAAGTCAGATCTGCGTTCACGCTGCCGCTCGCACAGAGAGCAGTTAGCATGTTTAGGTAAGAGACTGCTTCACAAGCAGTCTGTTCAGCTACACAGTATTATTTCTGTCTTACAGTCATTCATATTATCACAGAAACACTGGGAGGAAAGTTTATAGTTCTGATATAAACATTGATGTCTATGGCAGCGATCAAAATTGAGCAAAGTAACTGTCGCTTCAAATAACGTTTGTGGTGATTGCATTGATTGAACACTAGGTGGAGACAAGTGACTGTTAAAATGTGTTTGTCATTGAATCATTCATTCAAGAGATTCATCCAAAAACGCTGATTCATCCAGTAATGAAACCAGTGAAGTATTTATGAGTCATTGAATCATTCATTCGAATGATTAAAAATATATTTTAAATACATATGGAAATGCTCAATAATTTATTCCTGATTCAAGAATTTTTAGATATTTATACTAGTAAACAAGACAAAAATACTAAGAAAATCATTTTTTGCGGTGTTTACAGGGTTTTTCAGCTGCTTCCACACAGAATCTTTACTCGTCACAGTTTCTGAAAGCTGACACTCAAACAGCAGAAGCACGCACCACATCTACTAAACCAGACACTGGTCTCAGACTTTGACTAGGTTTGCAATTTCATAAAACACTTTTAGCAAAACACAACACACAGTTCTCCATGTAACACAAATCTGACAGGAATTAATATTATGGCAAAGCTGTTTGTGATATTTTGAATGCAAGAGATGTGAGGCATTTTGTATTGTGTGTGCAATTCTTGGATTTGTGTGTAGCGTTTTGAAAAAAAGAGGCAAAGTTTTGAAAATGTGTGTAAGCAGCTGAATAGACTGCAGCAATAATCTTTTGTCTAGTTTAGAATCGTGGGAGTGTGGTGATCTCTATTTGAGACAAAGCATGCTGATTCTCAGTGTCTCTCTCGCAGGCCGTCTGATCGTCACCATCTGGGTGATCGTGTCCCCGTCTAACTCCAAGCAGAAGTACACTCTGAAGATCACACACGACTCTCTGCCGGAGCAGCTGATCGCTGAAGCCATCCGCAAGAAGACGCGCAGCATGCATCTGTCAGCGCAGCAGCTGCGGCTCTGTGTGCAGGAGTACCAGGGCCAGTACATGCTGAAAGTGTGCGGCTGCGACGAGTACC